TCTCCAACAAAGAATTGAGCAAGACACCGAAATACAGTAGAAAAGAAAAGTTTTATTAGAAGGGAAAGTATACTTCCAGACGTGGAAGCAGGCCTGAGCAAGAGAAGTGCAGCTCAAAATGCCTGGTAACAAAGCTTTTGGGGTTTTTATACCTTTTTGCTATGGGTGGTGACTTTTCTTAGAAGAGTGGGCTTCCTTGACTGACAACTAAGACAGGACTCAGTGATTCATCATTTTGCTTTCTGCGCATGTTTGCTCCCAGAATTCAGTCTGTTATAATGATATTAATGAACTTCCGGGCACATGCATCATATTATAATGATGGTATAATGAGACTCAGGTGAATTGAAAGTTGTTGGGGTTCTCATTGCACAGGTGCGAGTGACTGGCTTAAACTGGTACCTAAATCTCTGCCTACTGGTTTCTTTGTGAGAGTTAAAAAAAAAAAAATGCCTTCCAGCTTGCTTAATTGTGGGTGGATTAGGGCGGACCCCTTCTAAAATAGGATGACCTCAGTGTCTTTGCAGGCAGACCTGAAACCCCCTAACTAACTTTCCTGCCTACCTCTTTTCTAAGGGCCATGAACCCCCTTATTATTAGTATGGATGTTGAGAGACGGGAGTCTCTTTTTCCATATCTGCTTCCTTCTGAAAATGGCCATAGTCCCTGCCTACAGGGGTTTCATGGAGCTCTTTCCTTTTCTGCCTCAGTCAGGGTAGGGTCTTGGGTTTCCTGCCGAAGTGCCACCTCAGTCCCTAGACAAGGAAAAGAAAATACAAACTCGTTATTTAAATCATACATCTATTAATTTCTATTATTGATTTGCCTATTAAGTGAGTAAAGGGAAACAGGCTTGGTTAATACGTTTCTTTGGCTTAAAGTCCCCTCCCCGCTCAGACTCTAAGGGCCCTGTCTGACTTAACACCATTTCTGCTTAGAAATGGGCTGATGACCCTTATCAATAGCCAGAGGATCTGAGTCACCAGGGCAATTAACAAGAGTTGAGGGAGAGAGCCTTTTTCCAAAGAAAGGAGGGAAGAAAACTTAACTACATTTACTAAAAAGATTAACTCTGCAGGAGATGTCCCATTTCATTTCCTGCTAAAAGATTAAGAATTTTACAGGTGATGTCCCATCTCACTTCTAGAGCACAGGATTCCTTTCCTTCTGCAGCCAGGAGGGGCCGTTGTTAATGAGCCTCGTGTAGGCATATGCTCATCTAAAGGCCCTCCCAGACCAGAATCTTCTGAACTCAAGGACAAATGCTTCTTGCGAAAGATGTAATACGTACAAATTCCCTGTAGTAGAGAAAGTCTCTAGGGATGTTGAGGGGACCCTGTCTGACACGAGTCTCAGTCTTAGAGAGGAACATGGGGACAGAATTCTTCTCTGCAATTGCAACATGTGGATGAAGTCAGTTTCTTGTAGACAGCCGCCAGCTCTGTCTGAGATCAGTGTAATATTTTTAGCTTTAAGTCAGGTGAGGCACACAGGTACTCCTCACTCCCCGACCTGGTGAGAACTCGCCCACATCCATAGGGGAGGCTGGCTTGCACCATTTCTACTCTCACTTCCCAGCCTAGAACAACCCAAAAAACATGGAGAGAAGGGACACTATCAGGTCCATCAAGCCAAGACCAGATGAGAATGTCTGTCCTAAAAAGTGGAAGTACCACTAAGGAGAAGAGAATGAGGACTCTCATGGAGATATCCACCAGAAGGAAAGTTGAAAGCAGAGAACATTTAGATCCTGGCTCTTTGAATAACATACCCAAAGTCACACAATTAGTAACAGAGCTGGAGCTAGAAGCCAGGTTTCCATGTATCAGTGTGGTCTTGCCACCCCCTATTCCAATTTCCAGGTCACTGTAGTTCCAGGGCAGAGTAGACAGCAAAATCCCTTCAGGTCACTCCTCATAAAAAGGCTCCTCAGTGCCAGTGTAGTCAGTCCCTCTTCTCAGAAAGCTATGGCCAGAAAGGCTGAACCCTTTATTGGCATCTGCAATAAAGCCAGGAAATAGGGTGCTTTGTCTGACCCAGCATGTTGTGCAAACAGCCAGTAGGTGGGAGAATCAAAAGCTTCCTGTAAACGATGTTATCGGCTCTAAAGAAAAACAGAAAAAAACCTAACGTTCCAGGAAGGAGGTATCCTGACAGAACAATCTGCCTGGTTTGTGGTGGTGCGGAGACAGAGGGAAGCCAGCCGTGTTCCCAGAATATTTTTAAGGTTAGGGACTGCCGCCACGGGGAGGGAGGCTTCTGGGAGCTGGATGCTGGATAGGCATTCCAGAGAACCGGCAGGCTTCCGTCTCATTCATTTCAGTTTGAGACTAGGATGAGTAAATGTCTTACTTAAAGGAAAATCTCTCTCTTTTAAAGAAGAATTCTCAAAGTAAGGGCAAGTCTGAGGAAGTATCCTTGCCAGGACTATACGTTTTATTCTTCCTTAAAACAAAGGGCAGCTGTGAAAAAGAATGGAAAGAGCCTTCAGCCCAGTGACCATTCTTTTAGGTCTTTTGTCTTTCCCCATATCAGGAGAGTAGGTTTTGGTGGTAATGGTGATAGTGGTAGTCATTCCCTTCGTATGTGCTTCAGATCAGAAAACCACTGTTTCCAGCCCTGTGTGAAAATGTCACGACTCACTTAGGACAGAAAACCGGAGAGAAGACAGGTGGATCAAGATCGATATTTACCTTACTGCCACCTCCAACAGTGCTTCTCAAACCTTAAAGTGCAGAGGAATCACTCAGGGGTCTTCTTCAAACGCAGAATCTGGTTTAGCAGATCTCGGGGGAGGGCCTGATATTTTGTATTTCTAACGAGACTCCAAATAAAGCTGATGCTGCTGATCTTTGGACCATACCACTAAGGACCTAGAAAAATGTTTAGCCTTTCAGGCTGTGAGATGATGGCCCCAAACTTTAATGCTATATATACACATCCCTTTTCTTAAATACAACGATCAGGAGTGGGAGTTTCCACCTACTCCTAATGCATTGCTTCCCAACCTTGGCAACCCATGGAATTCCCGGCAGCTTTAAAGAAATAGATGACTGGGTCTCACCCCCGGAGATTCTGCTCTGAGTCATCCTAGGCATTAGGAAGTTGAACTGCTCCCTGAGGGGGGGGTTCCATTGTGCATCCAAGGTGGAGAAGCCCTGACCTAGCCAAATACAGTGACCCACTTAATGTTTTCATTTAAAAGTTCTATATTCTATCTTTTCTCACCTCAAGGCACTAACTTTAATTTAGTCAAGCAGACTTTACATTTAAGTGTATGCAAACCAGTTACCATATATTTTTTTTTAAAACTAAGGGTTATCCTTCCTTAAACTTTCAAAACACGCCGTACTTAAATTTTTCTTAGAGACATGGCAAATTTATTAAACATTTTCCCCCACACTGGTGACACGGCTCAGTTTTATTGAATTATAAAATTGCTACAATACTTTAAACAAGCAGAATTTTCATAACAAAAATATAGAGTACACCTTTTGGAATTTGGAAGAGAAAAAAGAATACTCACAAAATAAGTATACATATATTTTAAAATGAAGTTTATTTTTTCCCTGGGAATAAAAATCCTATTCTGAAAATGTTTCAAAATTGAAGTGCTTAGTTATGTCAATCTAAAGCCACATTTGCTATTAGGTTACTAAGTTTATTTAGAGACTAGCTTTTCTCTCTCAGTATTTCCAATTCATTTAACTTCTAAAAGTTACAAACTGTTCACTTAAACACTCACAAATTCTTGTTGTAAGAACCATTATATGTATTAGTTATGACTAAGCAAAAATAAATATTTAAAAGGCAAAAAAATCATGTGTTTATGTTTTCAATAATATTTATATGCACAAAGATAAAGCTATTTTAAAACAATCATGATATTTTCTAATGCTTGCTCATTTAGGTTAAGGTTAAACTAATAGTTGGGGTACAAATGTGAATAATAAATATACTATTCAACGAAATGGTGACAATTTAGGAAAGCCAATGATAGTCAGATATTCAATTTATCTAAACTATTAAAAATAAAGCACTGAGTATTAAGTACACTCAAGAATTAGAAAACAAAGATGAATACTAGCAACATAGCACTTAGTAAGTGGTCAATGAATATTGACAGAACAAAGATTTTTTTAAAAGGTGAATAAACATATAAGCAATCCTAAATTAAATGCCCCCTTGAACTCACCACCTTTCCAAAGTGTTTCTTTTTCTTTTCTAAAATAGTCTACCAAATGTAGAGATATTGAAGAGGCTATTTGGGGGGGGACACAATAATCATCAATCGAAATGGAAAAAAGATTAAAAAGTGATAAAACAAAGTAAAAGTATAAAAATGGGGAAAATTCATATAATTTACTCTGGTTAATTATGGATAATATTGGAAAGCTCTTAGAAACTTACTTTTAACATTCAACCATGATTTTTATAACATGCAACTATGATTTCTTCAGAGCGTATAAAAATGATTGAAATAACACATAGAATTTGAAAACCAGAGGGGTTTTCAAAGACTCATAGTGAGTCTTTTATTTTCTCTAGATCAAGCCAGTAAAGGACTTGAACTATTAAAAAAAACATCTAAAATTATAATCACTCCCTTCATACTCCCCCAAAGAAAGAAAAACACCTATAGAAGTTAGATCTAGAAGTGACAGATGCAAACGTGATAGCAGAGGAAGCCACGTGTCCCAAAAAAGAAACTGTTTTGAGGCCAAAAAGTCACCCTACATTTTGCCACCCTTCATGATTCAAGCCATATTCAAAGACACTGTGTAGCCAAGGTGGCTTGATTCACAAAAGCAAGAGAGAGAATTTATAATCTGTAAATTTTCTCCCCTAAAATCATGGCCTGTATTTAAAAAACACAGCAAGGAAAAAGGAGGGCAACTCATCTAGAAAGTTTGCTACTTAAGCAAAACTTCAGATGAATTAAAACTCTTCTCTCAAGTGAGGGCTAAGGGTGATCTAAACATAAAAAGTATGCTATTGAATTTCACTTGGCTAAACTCATACTTTTTAATTTTTTTTTTTTTTTAAGTATGGCACTGTTGTTATTTCCCCCCACCCCCGCAGCACCATGTCAAGGTTGCAAATGTCTTCGAATTCACAAAGGCACTGCTAGTAAGTAAACAGTGTTTGTTACATATGTACACATATACACTCAGGCTGAACAGAGATGATGGGCTATTTTTGTTTCCATTTAAGAAATATATGTATGATTAAGTTCATCCTAATATAATAGTGGAAACTGAAAACAGGGAATCAATTATGAGTTGTTCCACTTTGAGTGCTTCAAAAAATATAATGTAGCAAAGTTATGCAAAGTCAGCCATAATCATTGCCTTATATTCTGGATGACAGAATATCCTTGCCACCATTTCTCATACCCTCCCACAAAGTCCATGGCAGACATCATTAACTAAGTAGGAAGGTCACTCTCTGATAATCTAGCCTCAAACTCAGAATCCCTGGAAGCCACACTAACTAATCAGTTGGTACTGAAGGAAAAAAACACAAAAGACAATACGCCATCCATGGTCACGATGCTAAATCACAAGTATTTATTGCCACACACTTCTCTCTGGCAAACCCGTGCAAAACAGGAAAACAAACCAAAAAATTACTAAGAAACAAATAGGAGTTGTAATGACTTGTATTCTAAGGCCTCAGCCAAGATGGGGCATCATGGCAAGGGGCCCCAGACAGTCTCCTGGGTCTGCCAATTCTGAAGGCAAGCTGAAACACTTGGATAACCTAGCAACCCCTGGCAACCACAAATACCAGAGGACAAGGACAGAGTATAGAAATTTCCTATATAATTCAAGTATCGAGTCTGATTTTGGTGGTAATACTTAGAAGGTATTATTGTTTACTAATGTATCATATAAATTTGTCAAATGAAGGTTTTTAATCAGGTATACATTCCCTGACCGAAATCTGGATGCTCAACCCATAAGCTCTAGGCCATACTTTTGGTTGCTGCCAAACAAACAAAAAAAAACACAACTCTTTTTTGACCAAGTCATGGTAACTTCTGCAGAAAACTTGTTTTATCCTTTGTAGCTAAACTTGTAAAATCAATTTTAAAACTAAATATAAAGCTATTATCTCAAAACAAAATGATTCCAAGTTGCATTGTCTACAATCAAGAAACTATACACACAGACCAGCATGCACATATACTCACACACACGATTAAAGAAAAGTACTAGACCCTCTAGGATTGTCTCATTCTAGCCATGTAGAAAAAGCAATCAATTTACATTTCTTTGCATAGAAAGATTACAAAGAAAATAAGAGCTGGAATGCCTGTCAGGTCAATAATGGCAGAAGTCAGAATCATTCTACTGTAACATATGAAAAATACTTGTAAATATATATAGACTCATCTCCTTCTTTACCAGCTGCATCATATAGATGTGCCACTGTTTAATCATCTTGTTATTGATGAGCTACTCTGAACAAGTGAAATGTACACCTACATAAAATAAAAGTCAATGCACAAGGAAAAGGTCTAGAAGGATACACACCAGAAAAGAGTGGTTATCCCAGGAAGTGAGAGTGTCAAGGTGAACTTTCACTTTATTCATATTGTCTAAATGATCATTTAATAAAGAGTATCTTCAGGTATTGCTTTTAAAAAATAAGAGGAAGGGTGGGAAATAACCCAGCCCTCCCAGAATTAAAGTCCAGAGTGTAGAGAGAAAGATGATGGCACTGAGTGGGACTGAAGAGTTTTCCCAGAACACCTTTTTCATTGCACATAACTTTCTTTATTCCTAAACTGCTACATCTCATCCAAAATGATCATTTCTGCCTACTAATATGAAGAGAGGTTGGGAAAGAAAAAAATGAGTAAGTCTAGCTCGTAGTAGCTATGAATCCCTCGTGACACAATGCTCTCCTTTGTTGCTATGTCCGTGCTACCAAACCTGGTATTGAGATTGAAGTGGGTAAACAGTCTTTGTGACAAACTTTTCAAAGAACTAAGAATATCAACAGCATCCTCCTCTCACTCTGACAGAATAAAACTAAGGAGGAAATTCGCTGCAGAGGCATACATTTTATTCATGTCAGATATTCTGAATATATTACCCCTCACTGATGTCAAAGGAATTGCTTAATGTGTTAATATCCTCGTACATTAGTTCATTTGATTTACCTATTTCAATTAATCAAAACTTAATACACCCTGCCACGAATCTTGGGTTTTGTGATTAAATTCATGCTCAATTATTCAGCAATTGATACTAGTCCAGAACTAAAATACTAACTGGATCACTTAAACACTTAGTATTTTAAGATATAGTAATAAAATATTCCTTATTCTAATCAATCACATATGCGTTAATCCTGGTTCTGTGCATTTTGGTTGCTCTTGTGTTCTTGTACTTTAGTATCTCTTTAATATCTTGTTATGAGGTTAAAATGAGGTGAAGCAACTGGCCCATGGAAAGTGTTCCAAATGTTTTATTATCAAAGAGACCAACAAAAGTTGTTTTGAGGGAAAGCACATTATGGGACAGAAAAGGCAAATTCCATCCTGTGAAAATATATAGTTTAGTCACCGCATTTAGAGAAGAGGCAGCATAAGGGCTCCAAGATGTAGACATCAAAGCTCTGGAGGTGAAACATCAAAGCAAACAGTGAGAGGACAGTAATATTCACATCTAGACAACAAAATGCCAGCATCACACTAACAGCAGGCACTGTTTTACCTACCCTGACCGTGTCTACCAGTTTCATCTGTACTGCCAAAGTTATCCTGATAATTTGCATAGAAGTTTATTCACACTAAGCAACCGGCCATTCTTTTTATAGAAAAATTTCTCATCTCATCTGTACTGATATTTCTCATCTGTACTGGTATTTACAGCCATTTCTCACCACCATGGGACTCTAGTGAGGGAGAATGTATATCTCCAGAAAAATAAAAATCCCCTTCCTCAAAATGTGCATCTCACTATCCATAAAAAGAGTAGTGGGATCACCTCCTCCCACTTCACCTCTAAGAATTAGAATTTTGTGTTATCATAACCTCAATCCAGATACAAAGAAGATTTTTAAAACAAATGAACAAATGTAGGCATTTTGCTTTATATAAATTCACATTTTCTGAAAAGTATACAGCCACCCACAAGAAGGTCATAGATGTAGTGATTACAGTCCACTATATCTCTATTCCTCTTCTCTATATATCAGAGTATTACATCTACTGGCTATAGGTAGGGCATAATAAACATCATCTTCACAATTTTATTCTCTATACTTCATATTTAGATGATAAAAACACAATACCAATAAAGCTTAAAACCACATTAAAATTGTTATTATATACTTTTAAAAACTTTTAAACTATTACTGATTGTATTTTTTAAGGCTTTACTGTGTCTTAGATAAAATTTAACACCTGAAAATTTCATGTGAAGTCTAGTTAAACGTAGGGTCGATATTATCAGATACCAGATTTCCCCATGTATCAGCAATTCTTCCTATGGTGAAAACACTTTCATTCAAGTCTAAGTGGATTACTGAATTAAGAGTGATAGTGGTAATAATAATGGAAATAACAATATTAATAATAACTAATTTATTTAATGCATACTATATGCCAGGCACTATTCTATGTGCTTTTTAGGTACTGATTCTTCTAATCCTCATAGTAGTTCTATGAGGTAGGCAGTACAGTAAAACCATATTGAAAAGCATTACAGAGTAGAATTATAGAATACTAAAGAAATTTTGTTTTCTGCACACTATTAGAATTTAAATCTAGACTCCCAGTTGAATATGATAGACTGACCCATGTATTTATTTTCTAGAGCTCCCAAACTCCACCAAAAGGCATTAAGGGAATATAAATGGTATTAATCGACAAAGACAAAGAGAACAGATTACAAAGCCATTAGATTTCAACAGATTTATACAAATAAAAATCAGGAGGAAGTATAATAACTAACCTAGCAAAGTAGAGGCAGTTAAAGCCTAAGTACCTAAAAATACACCTTACCAAACCCCTAACGAGTTCAAGATTGGGAAACACCACCTATTGTAAAAAAAGGGAGTGAGATACAGGGTTGAAATTAGGACGAAAAGTCTGTATAAAGAGCAACTGGATGCCAGGTTCTCTCCTTACCCTCCACAGCAGACGGCCCACCCAGCCCCAACTTCCATCCACAGGAGAAACTGAACCCGAGAGTCGCGAACCACAGAGGAAGACTGGGGTGGGTGGGGCAGGGCATGAGAGACTGAAAATAGGGGGATTAAGTAAAAGCCACCATACAAACTATGGTCTCCTCAGCCCTCTTCTTCTACCCAGCTGCCAGAACCTAAGAGTTCTTTCTAGAGAAACTGAATACTTCCAAAGAATACACCTCCACTGGAAATTAGGGGACTCCACAAAAAGGCCAATTCTCTGCCTGATGGCCCTTCAGAAAACTGATAAACATGGCCTATACACAAAGATCTATGAAATTAATTTTCTGGTCCCTTATCCTTAATATGAATGAATGACCTAATTTTCTATGAAAGCCTTCAGAATGAAAGACATAGTCCACAACAAATAAACAGAAAATGAGAACATGGAAAAAAAAAGAAACAATGCAATGAACAGGAAACGCATAAGAAAAAAACTGGTAAGCATCCTCAGGGATAATGAGAAGACATTGAGGCTATAAAATAAGAATTGAGGACTATGAAAAAATGTGAAATATGAAAATTTCATATTTTCATATAGCTAAAAAAAAAATCAAAGGAAGAGCCAGAGGATAACAAAAAGAACAAATACAACTTAAGGAGCAACTAGAAAGGTTTTTTAAATTAGAGGATCAATCTGTGAGGTCCAACATTCAAATAACGGCAATTCTAGAAAGAAAGAATGAAGAAAATGGAGGAGAGAAAATTATCAAAAAGGTAACACAAAAAATTTCCCAGAATTGAAGTGGACAAGTCTACAAATTGACAGACTCCACCAAGTCGAGTACCCATCAACATGAATGAATGAAAACCCACACATCGTCATGAAGTGTCAGGGGTGCCGGGGGTGAAAAGAAGCTACTAAAAGCTTCCAGAGTGTAAAAACAGACCCCATGTAAAAAAACAGTATCAGAATTTTCACAGGAATAATGAATGCTATAAGACAATGCAGCAGGGCATTTAAAATTGTAAGGGAAAAATATTTTCAACAGACTCCAAACTACCAATCAATCAAGAATAAAGATATTTTCAGAACTGTAAAGTCTCAGAATCTTTACTGCTCAAGCACCTTTTCCTAGGAAGTTTTCATGGTGGATATACTTTGGCAAAAAAGGGCACTGAATAAAGAAAGAGGAAGTCATTAAGATCCAATAAACAGGAGATACAACAGAGACTAAAAAAGAAAGGGGGTCCCAAAATGACCACCAAGCTGTGCGCAAGCCTGGACAGCAATAGTCCAAACAGTAAAAGATCCTTCAAACTGTGGAAGAAATGTCCCCAAAGGACAAAAAAGTAAGAAAGCGAAATGGATAGATTATCTGACGTTTTTGAGCATTTAAGCTTTTGGGTAAACACTGTGATAAGTACATAAAAAAAGAATCAAAACCAAGCAATTATTAATTTTGAGAAAAATAAGATTCCAGTACAAAGGAAATGATAGTTTATGAACCATTGGGTTCATGAGTGAACTACTTTTATTATCTACTGATTTAACAAAAAGTTGTGATTAATCTATATTGAGAGGGATAGGGAGATAGGAATATAAGTAAATCCTCCCTGCCATAAGAATTCAAGAATCATTTCTAGAGTTGATAAATCAAAAAAAATAATATAACTATTTTCAAATAGAAAGATAAATACTACAACCAACCACTAAGAGCTGAAGGTGCTAAGCAAGGGGAAAAGAAAGGTACTCTTTTTTATTATAAGCCTTCTAGTTCTATATGATGTTTTTTTTTTAACTATATGCATGAATTACTTTAGTAAAAATAAAGCTAAATTTAAAATAATTTAAACTTACAAATTCAGTATGAATTCAAAGAAAGGAAGATTGGGAAACCGGAAAGACATAAAAAGGAGCCTAAGTACCGGCTATAATTTACTTACCCACTGGGGCTATTAAAAGAGAGACCTCCTAAATGGAACTACTGTTGTCTAACCAGGCTTTCTTTGAGGCCAAGACACTCCCTCTGCACCAAGTGGCAATAGCAAGGCTCAAAAGACAGACCCAGAGGCACTTCATTTAATGAAAGTAAAGAACTGGTAGAATCCAAATTAATGGTATTATAATGTATACGGGATTAGTATAAACAGTAGTATAATATCAACATAGTACAAGGATACATTTCCTGAGATCTTGTGATGATTCCAAACACTAAATGTAATAAGCAAAATAATTCAGGGTCAAAGCTTTCATGGCAACTGTGAAAATGAAGATACTTTATCTCTTATCTTGGAATTAAAGTTGAATCAACAGCATCCATTTCTGGACTTGTCCTGATTGCAGATAACACAATAATTCAACATAATATAAAAAAGTTTGAATTTGGTCCATTTAAAAAAGAGTTCTCATCAAAGTCACTTTAATCACAAAGGCCTGCAGTTCCCACACAATAGAAACCAGGTACTTGAAAAGCAAGCACTGCTTTTGCTTAGACAATCACTGATATACCAAGAGTCTCCAAATTTCTCAATAATCCCATGGCTTAGACAAAGCAAAACAGAAACAACCAATAATTATACATTATAAAAAATCCCGACAGGCTAAAATTCTTACATAATTGTTCTTATTTGGTTCATCTTTTTCTTAAAATTCAGAAAAGTCAAGCACACTTGAAAATATACAGGGCTCCTCAAAATGCAAGTTTCCCTGAAGCTTTATAGATTGCTTCGTGCTACCTATTCACTGATCAAGATCTAGATGTGATTCAAGATACATTTATATTCCCTTAAAAAAATGACTTTGCAAATATATTGGTTCTAAAGGAAAAAAAGTGGCTTTAAGTCACAATAAAAGCCATACTTAGGAATATAACAAACCAGTTCAAAGCACCTGTTTCAAGGGGAAAAAATGATATGAACCAGAAATGATATTTTATTTTTTTTAAAATATTTATAGAAAACTGGTCAGGAATTCAGCTTTTTGGATAAAGCAATCTAATGGATTTATCTTCTAGGAGTTCAAAATCTTGTTACAGTGTTTTCATTATAAACCTATTAGTTAAAAAAAAAAACAAAACAAAACAAAAAAAACCCTACCAGAAAAACTCCCTATCAGTAGCACCTTGACCTCCATGGTCATCACTATGCAAATTCTTACTATTAAAAAAAAAAGCTAAAAATGATTACTCACTCAACACAAAACTTACTATATTATCAAACATTTTTTTCTCAAATTAGACATATGAAGTACAACAGATGAGAATAAGATTCCACTTGATATAGTCTAATGAACTGTAAGCTATTTAAAATCAAATACTTTAAGTAGCATACAGTTTATCTAAATGTATATTAATGATTACAGATTGTATATGTCCATTTTAAACTTAGGGGAGAAAGCCTATAATTACAGATTTATTTTAGTAAATACAAATATTGACTAAAAAAAAAATTCCCACATAAACTTAAAAGAGAAATTTAAAGTGAAATAAGCCACACTATTCTAAGCTCATAGGCAATAAAACTAAAAATATGCCTCATTTGTATGTTCACTATGAGGTCTGACTATACAAACAAAACGAAGCAATAAAGAATACTATTAGCACTTAATAAAGACAGAATATCAATAAATGTAAAAAATACAATGTATTATATGATAAATTTGAATGCAAAAACCACATATTTATTAAACACATGATTAACTTAAAAACACCAAACCAGTTTGTTTTAAAGTGCTCCTCATCCAAGACCTTGGACAAAACCTTCACTCCAAAGTGAATTTTAAAAAACAGTTTACAAGGCAAACACTGACAATAGGTATGGACAGGCACTACCAAAAAAAAAGGTATTTGTTCTTTAATTAAATAATGCCACTCTCGAGTGATGTAAAGCAGTCACCTTGACAGAATTTCTTTTTCATATAAATATTCATAAATCAAAAATGTCTCCAGATAGTCTAAAGAGCTGCAAACATTAATACGTTACAACAGCAGCTTAATGTCTATTTTAGGAAAAAAGCACTAAAATCCTCTTCCATTGAAAGTCATTTATTTCTCTTGTGGACATGAGCAAGGTCACTACAGCATTAACCTCTTTTTTTCTAGAACAGTGTAAATAATGTATACACATCTTGAATTTGGTAGGTAATTTTTCTGATGCAACAGAAAAATAAATAAATAAAAATTAAATACTTTAACCCAACATTTTGGTACTGACTAATCAGTAGTGTCAACTTCACATATGAAGGACAGCATAGTCTGGTTTGTAAAATAATCCTCGATGTCATGGTATTTGGGCTAAAAATATTTAGAATACTAAATGTTTCCTTTTTGCTTAAAGGAATACAGTACAATCACCATCAAGCTGCTATCGTAACTCATTTTCAGCTAGGGTAAAGTGACCATTTGGTCCATGGCACAAGCTACATATATTACACTTCTGTCAAACTGAAACCTTATTTTTATAAGATTTCATGTTTATAAGCTATAATACACACTCAGTCCCTCACAGTTTTTTAGAAAAATATCTACATTTGTCCTTATGGATGTCAAAATGTTACACCATCATTTGTTTAAAAAGAAAAAAGATGCACATTCATACTGTGAAGTTATTAGGAAAATACTCTTGCAAATAAACTATATAAAGATAAAATACACTTCAAAGGTATGTGGGTTGTTTTTTTTTGTTTGTTTGTTTGTTTTACAATATTCTATAAAGTGCAGAGAAATCTTTTTCCTAAGGGAAAAACTACTCCCTATAACATAGTTTAATTACAGCAGCTTTTGCATAGCAATACTTAGAGGAAGCTGGACACTTCCGTTTCCTCAAGAAGAGAAGGATGGAAGAGGATCTTCCAATTCAGATTTTTTTTTGGCCATAAGTCTGCTTTCTTCAGGAATGGTTGCTGATGCCAAATCTCCATTAAGTGTATTTCTTGAACAGTGAACAGGTCCTATTAAAAAATTGATTAAAAGGTTAAGCATCCTATCATTATTAACTGCAATCCTCTGTGAAAGAACATCTTAAGTTTCCTATTCAGGGAGATGAAATTCCTTTAGCTTCCTGCTAATTTTTTGATTGTTTGTTTAACAGAGAAAAATCTAACTTTTCTACTATTAGCAGTCATAAGGAGAAACTTCAGAATTCATGAGATAAATTACGAAACTACCTAAAGTAGAAATATTTATTTTGTTCGTTAATAGAACCATGGTTGGCACATAATGAGCAGTCAATAAATAAATATTTGCTGAATGGAACTTAAGTCTTTCTTAATTGCCTATTGCTTTCTCAATCTGATTGTTTTAATGCTGTTAGAATTCTTCCTTTCTAGGCAAAGAAATCAAGACCCAAAACAGGTTACATGCCTAACACAAGATCACACAATTGGTAACAGGACCAGGACTAACTCAGGTCTTGCTATTTTCATAATCAGACTTTCTGAGCAAAGCTGACAAGGTACCTCACACTGAAACATTCCATATTTCTATCTGGAATGCAACAAAACTATCACTGCAGCTGCAAGTGAACACAGCTAATCACATTGGCATGGTTCTGTTCCAAAGCAGCTAGTTGCACTTTTATAAGTACAAACCATTTGAATTTAACATGACCATCTATTACATATATATATATATTTTTTTTTTAATCTAGTTAATAAAAAATAGGAGCACCTGCATCTCTCAAGGAAAAGAATATTTTGGGATAAAGACTTTCAACTAAGACTTTCAATTGCAAAACATATACTTTCTAAGAAAGAAAACTAATTCAGTCTCTGCTTTGTCAACTGATACACTAAACTTTAGGATAAACAGAAGGTTATCTAAGGATAAAACTTCTGACCTGGCCTACAGTTAGTTACCAATTTTAAAAGTTCTAGAGAATTAAGATATATGTATGTATATAAGTATATATGTATGTATATAAGTATATATATGTATATAAGTATATATGTATGTATAGAAGTGCATATGATTAAGATATATGTGTGTGGGTATGTACATGCACATATATGTAACTAGTTTTGTTAAATCCTTTAACAGCTTAATTGGGGAATACTAAATGGAATAAAGCATTTACACTTAGATCGTATGTGAAAACTATCTTCAAAAATTTAGGACCACAGTGCCTAAAACAGAAGAGTTAATGAAAATGGCTAGCTTTAAAAAAATTTAACTTAGCTATCATAAAGGAAAATGTTAAAGAAAAAAATAAGTGGCATCTAGAGAAAAGTATCAAGCAGCATACAGAACTCTTTCCTGAGCTGTGGATTAAAAGAGTCATATATAAAGAACTGAAAGAATAAGGTAAATCAGAATGTATATACTATCTGCCTCAGGTAACACTTTTTCCCCCATACCTAATACCTCCTTAACCCCCTCTTCTTTTCCTATCTATTCCAAGTTGTACGAAATTAGCCCAGGAAAGTTTGTTTCTCCCTTCCCCTTCTCACCCTCACACCTTTCCTCTCTTCATGTCTTTAACCATTGTCTCAACTTAAATTCAAAATGGTAATGAGCACAGAGTAGTCCTCTATGAATAAAGATTATTAGTTTTGTAAAAAAAAAAAAAAAGGCATAAGAAATATCATCATCTAAAGATCTGAAAATGGCCAGCAGTCCCTTTTAGAATCTCCACCATCTTCAAGAACTCTACATTCTAATCCAACACCATTGTTGCATCCCATTTTAGCCCTATGATGAATTAACTGGGCTTTTCTAGACAGTCTAAAGAATCTAACCACCATTTGTCATGTCATTGCCATAAGGGAAATAAAATGGGTATTCACACAACTGACTTACAAATAAGCTGTTAGAACATAATATGTTCCTTAATTGGAAACTGTATGTAATTTCTATCCCGCATGTTTCATGGGCAACAGTAAAGACTCTGAAAAGCAAAAGTCTTTATTAAATGGAGTTGTAATAATGAGACCATATTGGGTTCACTGAAAATCATGGTCGCTAATGTCTAATTAGATATTCTAACACACTTTCAAAGTTTTCTCTGAAGAGAAAAATAATTAAAATTTAACATAAATCACAAAATCTTTCCTAAAGTACTCAATCACATTATGCTGCCTCTTTAAATAGTAAGGGAGAAAAAGGTACAAGAATAAATGCAACTGTAATTCACTTCCACCACAAGAAAGAATTGCTTTCCTTGGCCATTTCATATTATTTAAGAATGCTGATTTTTTTCCTTTGAACCTAGAACTTGCCTTTATTTTTTCTTATTTTTTATTTTTTCTTAGAACTTGCCCTAACTCCTACCTACAATTTATTCTTCTAAAATGTTTTTTAAATGCGAATGTAGTGGGAGTAGAAAATTACTAAATGATTACCAAAATGTAGTGGGAGTAAAAGATTTTGGTGTTTGATACACAGATAGGCAGATTGATATAGATACGATATGGTATTTACAGAGATACTTAGCACTCTCTAGTTAATAACAAAGGTGTCTGTAAGAGGATATACAAACTTCTGCTGATTATATACTGTTTGCTTAGCTTGGAATTAAGGAATTAATCCAAGGGCCAAGTACAGTGTTCACTTGTCAGTATCCTTCATTTTAACAATTACAGAGTCCCACAGCAATTTTGCTGAATAGGCCAAAGAAAGAGACAGACCCCATCTAACTTACTATCAGGGTCTTCCAGAGGAATATCACTATAAGAGTCTGTATCTGAGTAAGTTCTTCGGCGTCGCTGGGAGAATCGGTGAAGTGTAGACACTGGTTCTCTTACAGAGTGGCTATTCCTGCAAATTAAATAAAAAGCATTAAATTTTAAGGCCTTAAACAATTGAAATACCCTTAACTTATCTGGAGTTTTAAATGACATCTCTTTAAATGAAGAGGAACTATTTTTATGCCTGAAGTTCTATTTCAGTAATATTCTACTTGTTCAGAGGTCAGGCCTAATGGAGCCCTGATACATCACAAATGGATTCCTATTAACCATCATCTGATATAATTTCAAACATCTAAAAAAGGTACAATAGCTGTCAAGGTGATTACCTTGCTGGTTTATTCATTCATTTTTTAATTTAATCACTATCTACTGGTGTTAGGCCCTATACTAAAAGATAAAAATGCAGAGCAAATCAGAACCAGACTCTGCCCATATAGAGTTCACATTCCATGGCACTATGTTAAAGGCCCAAAAAATTCCCTACATAGGTATAATTTTGAGAGAATTTAATTGTAAAAAAAGGTTATTTTACCTCTCTGAACTGTAAGAACCAGGGTGGCTGACAGAACGCTTCATCTAGAAATTTAAAAAGAAAATGAGCATAATCCATTAGTCAAGTAGAATAATGAAGCTCTAATATCTATTCAGAGAAAAAGATGGCTGGCCAAAAAATTTATTTCTTATGGACTCAAGTAATATTATTAGCATAATGTCAAGCTTTCTACCTAATAACTATTAATTGTAATCTTTCTCAACACATGCTAAAAACACGCCGTATTCTTTTCTCAATACCAAAAACTAAATTTTGTATTTTATATCATGTTTGTATGTGTATAAAAATATAAAAAACAGTATACTGAAATAGTCCCCCAAAAATCACAATATTTGTGCTAAAAAGGTATATGTAGCAAGCCAAAAAATGTTCTAATTAATGTGTCTCTCGCCCTTGCTTTTTTTTAAAAAGCAGGATTAGAGTCTGGTAGCATAGCTTCCCTTTACCATTCATTATTCAGGTATTTGTTACACAGATGTTCTAAAGTGTGGTTTTCATGGAAGATGGCATGAATAATTCAAGTCTTTAAAGAACTCAGAAGAATTCTACACCTCAAATAGATTTCTAAAACATACATTTAAAATATAAATAAGTAAAATTTAACTAAGAAGAGCATTAATCAATATGACAAATGCTAAGCATAATTTAGAACCACCAAAAAAAAAAAAAAGAAAGAAAAGAAAAAAAAAAGAAATAGAAAGAGCCAGTCAAGTAAAACAGATCATTTCAATATTTAACAAGGTAGCAGAAAAACAAAGTTTATGCTAAAGGATAAGGATGGTTGCTTTTACATACAGGGCTGAAGAGTCTTACAAGTTCAAGTCTAATATTTGTATTACATGCATGCTTTCTACATTTGTAATGTGAACCACCAGTTGCTCTGAGAAATTCCAATTGAAATGATAACATTTATGATCCATCTAGTTTGTAGTCCAGGGACATCTAATATGATTGACATTAAGATGCAACTGGACACCAACACTTCCTTTAATATAAATCACTTTCTTTAGGATTACTCACCCACTGACATCCGTACCACAGTGATAACTCAATCTGTGGATCAGAGTTCAAAATTGTCTGAACTTCCATGGTGATTTGAAATATAATTGAATGCAAGTTAATCTCGAGAGTGACACAAGGAAAATGACTACATAAAATGGTTATAATGATGAGATTAATTTTGGAATTCTCAAATGTTTCAGCTTTATTTTTCATTTACTCATGTGATTTTTTTAAAAACACAGGATTTTCCTATGAAGATTGTCTGATCTTACTTTCCATGTTACATGTCTCCAGAACTAATTACCATAAGCCACAATTATGGCTTTATGTATGAAGGAAAATGGCATAGCGAGAAAAAATAAACAGCCTCTAGCCAATATTTCTTAGATTTACTTATTGGATTTCCAATGATAAAAGGTTTTGGTTTAAAAGAGAGTTATTATAGCTTTTCTTATACATAAAATATATATATGACCTCTTCGGACTATAGAGCATTTGTAACAGAAGGCATTTTCCTCAGAAGTTCAATCCAAAAACAAGGCAGGTTTGAGGCATTTTTATAGTGTTTGACTCTATAAAGTACACCTAAAAAAAAAAACAACCAAAAAGTGTACCCCTTGGTACATCAATCTCAGACACATAGCACTATATAACCACCCCAAAAGATCATTTTTTTCGGCTATATGTTATTCAACATTGCACAGTATGTCTACAATTGTTCTAAAAAGCAACGCTGTCCAACTGTGTTCTACTGAACACCACAGTCCTGTAAGATGTTACTCAAAAATCAACAAAAAGGGTTTAGTTGTGAAATAAATTTCAGAAACACTGCACACCGCCTCTCCTTCTCAGGGGTTCATAATACACTTTAGCATAAAAGAGGTATGACAGAGATGACAGAGAATTTGTTTAAGTTAACCTAGCACTTCCCAAACTAATCTGGCCATAAAGCTCATGTTCATGGTACACCTATCTCAGAAGACACTATTAGTCCATCATACATTAATTAAAAAACAATGATCTAAAGAAATTCAGGTAATAATCTTTACTAAATCTCTTATAACTAAATTTGCTGGGGAGGGTAAGAGAACCTAGGAATAAATTGTACCCTTTCTTCCAAAAAACAAGTTTTTGGTAATTGTTAGAATAGTAGCCAGGTGGCATTTTTCTTTCTATAATAGGGATCCTGAAAACAGTTTGATGAAAAAAATGTGAAGTCTCATCAAACCTTCCCTCGCCTCAGAGTCCCCCAGAGAATGCTAGAGGAAGTTTATTAGCTTGAAAGGGACAAAAAGCCCACTGCCACCTACAGAATGCTTGCTCGGTGATCACAAAATAAGAAATTAACATTAAGTACCTAACATTAAACAGGTCAGGTCCTTTGTCGTGACCCTCTGATGTGGAAGATACTTGATTTTATAGATGAAGAAAAGGAGGTCCAGAGAGATTAAGAAACTTGCCTTTTTGGAGGGTTCAAATGCACATTTGGACCACAAAATACTGTTTCCCCTGTAACATGTTGTTTCAAACCCCTTACGACTCCTGTAAAGATTTGATCAATTTTATCCTAATGTAGGTGAAATATCACTCCTCTGTGATGATTTTACCAAGGAGAACAGTTTTCCCCAACCTTCTTTGTGCCCTAGCACCCACAGAGGATTATAATATTTTCCTGGAACACTGGGGTAAATGGCACAGCCCCTCCAGGGGAGGGGATCGGGATCTTGACACATGCTGAGCCTACCAGATGAGAGGCTCCAATACGGAATATGAGTACAATAAAAAAAAAAAAAAAAAAAAAAAAAAAAAAAAAAAAAAAAAAAAAAAAAAAAAAAAAAAAAAAAAAAAAAAAAAAAAAAAAAAAAAATAAAAAAAAAAAA